CCCGACCTTTGAGTCCTCTGCTGCGTCTGCCCTGGTCGCTGAGTTGGTTGACTTTGCTGCTCGCTGTCGCCTAGACTACGCTGCCAGCCTTGTCGCTAGGTCTGAGTCTGCGTCTGCCTGTCCTCCGTCCGTCGGGGGTGAGTGTGCCCTCGGCACGGACGTCCTTGAGGACAGACAGGAGGAGTTCCACTGCCTTGCTGCTGCTTTGCCCCGTCTCGTGTCCTTGCTAGTTGCCCCTGAGGGAGACCCGGATGCACCAGACATCCCGACCCCACGCTCTTACGCTGAGGCGATGGCGGGTCCCTACTCCTCTCAGTGGCAGACAGCCATGGACGCAGAGATGGCCTCCTGGAAGTCCACACGCACCTACGTAGACGAGGTTCCCCCTCCTGGGGCGAACATTGTCAGTGGCATGTGGATTTTCAGGGTGAAGCGGCCGCCGGGTTCTCCGCCTGTTTTCAAGGCGCGCTACGTGGCTCGAGGCTTCAGTCAGCGAGAGGGAGTAGACTTCTTTCAGACCTTCTCCCCCACCCCGAAGATGACTACTCTTCGGGTGCTGCTGCACATAGCCGCTCACCGCGACTACGAGCTTCACTCTCTTGACTTCAGCACTGCTTTCTTGCAGGGCAGCCTGCACGAGGAGATCTGGCTGCGCCGCCCCCCTGGCTTCACTGGGTCAGTTCCTCCTGGCACCCAGTGGAGGCTTCAGCGGCCGGTCTACGGTCTCCGCCAGGCGCCACGTGAGTGGCACGACACACTGAGGACGACACTTGCGGCTCTTGGGTTCGCTCCCTCTACTGCTGACCCGTCGCTGTTTCTACGCACCGACACCTCGCTCCCGCCGTTCTACATCCTCGTGTACGTCGACGACTTGGTCTTTGCCACTGCTGACACCGCGGCACTCGCTCACGTGAAGTCGGAGCTGCAGAGGAGACACACGTGCACAGACCTGGGTGAGCTGACGAGCTATCTTGGCTTGCGGATCACCCGGGACAGAGCACGGCGCACCATCACCCTGACTCAGTCACACATGGTGCAGCAGGTTCTCCAGCGCTTCCGCTTCACGTACTCCTCGCCTCAGTCCACTCCTCTGCCTACCGGTCACTCGCTCTCAACTCTGCCTTCGGATGAGTCCGTAGAGCCGAGTGGCCCGTATCCAGAGCTTGTGGGCTGCCTCATGTACCTGATGACCTGCACTCGACCTGACCTTGCATACCCTCTTAGCATCCTAGCACGCTATGTCGCTCCTGGCCGTCACCGGAAGGAGCACATGGATGCTGCTAAGAGGGTGTTGCGCTACTTGTGCAGTACGTCGGGCATGGGGCTTGTGCTTGGAGGGCGAGACCGGGTTGTTCTCACAGGGCACTCAGACGCTTCTTGGGCAGACGACCAGGCTACTCAGCGGTCGTCCCAGGGTTACACCTTCAGCCTTGGCTCTGGCACAGTTTCTTGGCGTTCTACTCGCTCTTCTTCTGTTCTCAGCTCCAGTTGTGAGGCTGAGATCTACGCCACAGCCATGGCCGCTCAGGAGCTACGCTGGCTGACCTACCTGCTGACCGACCTCGGAGAGCGGCCTCGTTCTCCTCCAGTGCTGTACGTCGACAACAAGGCTGCCATTGCCTTGTGTGAGGAGCACAGACTGGAGCACAGAACGAAGCACATCGCTCTGCGGTACTTCCTGGCTCGAGAGCTGCAGCAGCGTGGTCAGCTTTGTCTGCGTTACGTGGCCACGGAGGCCAACACTGCTGATGTGTTCACCAAGGCGCTTCAGCCTTGTGACCATCAGCGCTTTTGCACTCTGCTAGGCCTTGTACCTACTGGGCCTCACTTACTTACCTCTTGACCTTGCTTGTACTGTGATCACTATATATATATGCCTACTTGTTTACGTTTGCTAGGTTGTGATCACTGTATCTCTTGCTTTGTTATAAACCTGCATGTGAACTGGTCTTGTGACCGCTTGCTTGTGCTCGGAATTTGTGTGGAATCCTTGAGATCCACCCTGAGCTTGTTTTGCTTTGCTTTGACTGGTCTTGTGACCCTGTAGCTGTCTCCCACTGCGCCTATGGGGGTGTGTCAAACATTGCATGTTTATATTGTCTAGGCTGTAGTGGGTTACACCTTAGGGGGTACACAAAGTTAGGGTTTCCTACTTGTACCAAACTCTGTTCTAGTTCATTCATTCCTGTTCAGTTATTCCTGACACGCTGATGCAGGTTATAAGCTGCTCGATGAGCGCTGTGTCCACAATTGTCATCCCAGAGGCGACATTGGTAGAGGATGCCCTAGATTCTCTCCAATTTTGCCGCCGTATGCACCTGGCTTGATGCTTGCCCTTGAATGTAAGATAATTTGTAGAAATAGTTTGCTTTAAATGATGGTTTTGGCAGCCCCTATAATCCAAACTTGCTCTCGTACCATGCTAGAATAAGGATCTTGGATAGAATAAAACTACCTTGTGAACCTTGGTAGCGGAAGTCTTGGTGATGGGAACCTTGTGCATAGTGAATGTAAACAATAATATATATATATTTTTTTAACAGAAACATAGTAAATAGTTTTAGCTAGCCATGTACATTCCCTTATTATAGCTGTAATACATGCATTTTTACAGTAACCCTAACTTTTGCTCTTCTCTTGTTACCGGGTTGTTGCGTGTAACTGTTCAGACAGTTACGCCTGTTGCCTTTCTTCGCGTGTAACCGTTCGATCCAGATTGTTATGAGTTGTGAAAGGAAAGAGTGCGCAGAATTCAATAACGCGGAAGTGATTATATGAGGCCTAGGACAAATTTAGCAATGCTAGCTAGGCCGAGGTCGCGGGGTCGCGAGATGGTTGGGTGCAGGTTCGGGGTTGGAAAACCCGAAGGCGACGCGGTGATGGTTCGGAAGGCGAGGTCGGCGGGCCGAGCCTGGTTGTCCAAAAACCGGGGTTGTACACGTACAGTTTGACCCAGTAAGGAATCCGAAAAATTCCTTACACTACCCCCCCCCTTTAAGAAAGGTGGTGAATATCCGAGACACCTCGGCGGGCCAGGTAAGCATCCACAACCGGATGTCCCAGTAGCGAGTCAGCCGCGACATACGTGTCATCCTCGCTCGTGCGGTCCTTCCAGCGAAGCAGGAATTTCATCGAGCGGCCGGCGGCAGTCACGATAACGCGATGATTTAAAATCTTCCACGGTTCCAGCGTGGGTTCAGCGACGGGGCGTGTGGTCGGCGCGATGGTTGGCCGAGCGACAGCTGGCGATTGCGGCTGTTCGTAGTGACGCAGCAGGCTGACGTGGAAAGCGTCATGTAGTTTCCAATCGTCGGGCAGCAGCAGCTTCGCGGTGACAGGTGTCACCATCTGGATGATGCGAAATGGTCCCACATATCTGGGCCGTAGTTTCGCTGGCTGTGGCAGTCGGAGGTTCTTCGTGTCCAGAAGCACAACCTGCCCTGCGCGGAAGGGTAAATTCCGTCGGTGCTTGTCCGCTTGACGGCTGGCCGTGGTATTAGCCTTTCGAATAAAATCGGCTGCTTTCGTGTGGGCTATCTGCAGCTCCGTGACAAACTGCTGCGATCGTGGTACCGGGTTGTCCAAAGTCGTTGATGAGGGTACCACGGGTCTATCCCGTAATACAGGTAGAAGGGTGATTGTTTAGTCGTGGCCGAAGGGGCGTTGTTGTACGCGAATTCCAGCATCGGCAGCGAATCCTCCCACTTGCAAATGTCCGGGAAGTTGGTGCGAATCAGTTGCTCCATGGTCTGATTTGTCCGTTCCGTCTGTCCGTCGGTTTGCGGGTGGTATGACGACGAAAACTGCAGGCGGGTACCGTACTGTGCCCACGTCTCCTGCCAGAACTTCGACGTAAATTTCGGATCTCGATCGCTGATGATCGCCGAGGGTAATCCGTGTAGGCGTACGACGGTGGAGATGAAAAGTTTTGCTGTATCTTCGGCTGTAATCGTTTTCGGCATGGGGCGAAATGCGCCATTTTCGTTAGGCGATCGACGATGACCATGACCGAGTCGTTGCCACTCGCGCCAGCTGGTAGCCCCGTGACGAACTCCATCATCACCTGTTGCCACGGTCGTTCGGGTGGCTCGAGGGGTTGCAGCAGTCCGGCTGGCCTTTGTCGCGACGACTTCATTGCTTGGCAGGTCGGGCAAGTTGACACGTAGCGCTGCACGTCAGTAGGCATGTCCGGCCAGAAATAATTCCGCTGCAGCAGCTTCAGTGTTTTGTACCTCCTGCGTCAGCAACTCCCGTAAAGGCTGATAGGCGGGTACCCAAATCCGGTTCGTAACGGCTTTTAAGTAATACCTGCCGTGTGGCGTGGCAGCCTGTTGGTGCGGATTCTTAAAAAACCTGTCGATCTTGTAGCCGTGGGTGAATAGTCCCGTCAGCATCAGGTTGGTGTGGGCTAGTTCCGCCGCGTTCTGCATGGATGGTCGAGTGAGTGCGTCGGCGATGTTGTTGGCGCCTTTCTTGTACGTGATGGTGTACCAAAAATCGGACTCGAGGAAGTCCAACCACCGGATTTGTCGCGGGTTGAGTGTCGGTTGCGTGCGCATGTACTGTAGCAATTTGTGGTCGGTTCGAATTGTCACGTCGGCTCCCGTGAGGTAGCAGCGCCAGGTACGAAATGCGTGGACGATGGCCAGCATCTCCTTGTCGTGGACTGGGTAGTTGCGCTCGGGTGGCTGCATCTTGCGTGATTCGTAGGTGATGGGTTGTAGTCGGTTGCTGAAGTCCTGTAGCAGGACGGCGCCGACGGCGAAATTGCTGGCGTCCGTGATGACTTCAAACGGTCGAGATGGATCGGCGAGGCGGAGTATCGGGGGCGAACCCAAAATTTGTTTGAGGGCGTCGAAGGCGGACGCTCCCTTTCCCCCCACCGGAAATGACTGTCGTGATGCAGCAGGTCGGTCAGCGGCTTGGTTATCCCTGCCATGTTAGGTACAAAACGGCGAACGTAGTTAACAAACCCAAAAAAACTTTGCAATTCAGGGATATTAGTCGGTCGGCGTCCACCTTACGCGGGTCGATTTAATTCCTTCGCCGAAAACCATGTGCCCCAAAAACTCCAACTCCAGCTTTAGGAACTCGCACTTAGACCCCTTCGTAATCAGCCGATGCCCCTGTAAACGCCGGAACACCTCCTCTAAGTCCCGCAAATGGTCTTCTTTTGTCGCACTGTATACCAGAATATCGTCCAGGTACACTATGATGTCCCGGAAGATCCCGTTCATCGTCAGCTAGAACGTCGATGGCGCGTTTGTCAGTCCGAACAGCATCACGGTAAATTCGTAACTGCCGTAACGTGTGCGAAAAGCTGTCTTCGGGCAGTCGTCGGCGAACACGCGAATTTGGTGGTAGCCTCCTGGCAGGTCGATTTTTGAGAAATATCGAGCTCCGCGAAGTTGATCCAGCAGATCGTCAGTTCGCGGGATCGGGTAACGCGATTTTATCGTGACCCAGTTCAGCGCCCGATAATCAATGCACATTCGTAGGCGCCCGTCCTTCTTATGCATGAACAGTATCGGCGCTGCATACGGCGACGTGCTTGGCTCTATAAATCCCCTTGCTAGCAGGTAGTTCAGATGGCTCCGCAACTCGGCGAGCTCTGGTTGGCTGAGCCGCCACTGTGTCCGCACAGTAGGTTGCGCGCCGGGCTCCAGCTGGATTCGATGATCTTCTGGGCGCTGAGGGGCCAGGCCATCCGGGAGGTCATCAGCGAAAATTTCGGGATACTTTTGAATAATGCTCGCCAACTCCTCAGGGACTGCTGCGCAGAGGGTGTCGATGTCCGCGATTTTCTCGAAAGCTGCCACGTTGTACAGGTGTACCAAGAAGGCCTGAGCTCCGCTGTTCATCGCTCGTGCCATGTTGACCATGTTGACACGTGTCGTCACCGGCTCCGGCTCCGTCCATTTCGGAAGCGTCGTCCTCCCTGCATATCCTCGCACGACGCACGCTCCCGTCGTCCAGTCGATCGTCGGGTTGAAGCGCTGCAGCCAATCTCTCCCCAGCAGCACATCGCAGCCGTCCAACGTCGTCGCCACGATCTTCATGCCAAACCCGAATTTTTCGCCACACTGGATCCGAATTTTTCGCGCCTCATCTCGGATGGCCAGCGGTGTCCCATCCACCAGCCTTGCATCGATCTCCGGCAGACACCTGGTCAGCTTCACCCCTGTTTTTTTGGCCGATGCCAGGTTGACGAGGCTGTGACTCGCCCCACCGTCAACGAATATTTTTATTTTATAACCGTTAACCCTCCCTACCACCAGTACAGGGTAGCCCACATGTTCACCCACGTTATTCGTCCGGTTCTGGTCGATAGCTCTGATCGGTACCACGACCCGGTGTGGATGGTGATTGTCGGGCGACAGGGTCTCGTCAGTAGGTGGCCCTTCTGCTACTGACTCACATCTTTTCCCGACCCTTCTCCGTCGTTCTTCTTCCCCTGCTTAAGCCTCGGGCAGTCTTTTTTCAGGTGGCCTAGCTGGTTGCATACAGTAAGAAGCACGGCCCAAGGGCTCGGCTTGGTGCATCCACGCCGTTGATCGTGGGCTGCTGAGTCGATCCACGAAATCGAGGGCCCTCCCGGGAGCTCGATCTCGCCCACTGCATCAGCGCATCCGTTGACTCGGCTTCCCGGACGGCGTCGTTGAAGCTGCGTGGCCGGGTTCGTCGGACCTCGTACTGTATCTCGTATTTCAGGCCCGCCACGTAGCGATCCAACCGCTCCGCATCGCTCATGTCGTCCATTTGGTCCGCCAAGTTGCAGAATGCGCTGGTATAGTCTTGGACTGAAGTCAGCTGCTTCCAGGCACGCAGCTTCATGCGAGCAGAGTCCGAGGCGGATATGTGCTCGAATCTGGTTCGCAAGGCGGCGCCCCACTCCCTCCATGTGCGTATCATAGCCGTCCCAAAAATTGATGCTGCTTGATGCGTGACAGGTGTCGAAGTCCCGTCGTTCGCACGTGCTATTCCTGCCGAAGTCCCTTCGTCCTGCAGCGTTCGCCTCCACCACTCCAGCGCAGGTCCTCGCAACAGTGAAACTGCGAAATTAATGCGGGTGGCATCGTCATAAATCATGGCAGCATTGAAAAACACCTCCACGCCGAACAACCATGCAAAAACAGTGACGAATTTGTCGCTCGGGTTAAACGGGGGCGGGTTTGTCGGTTTGATTTTAACAGTTGGCAAAGCCGTTGCTGCTGCTGGGACTGTTGGCATCGCTGCTGGCGTCGCTGTCGTTGTCGCTGCTGTCAGAATGTTGTATTTGTCTAGCCTGCAGTGGGGTACTCTATAGCGAGTACAGCCCAATCTAGGGTTTGCTATTTGTATCTCAACTGCTGCTAGTCCAAACCCCTCTTTCCTGTTTCTCGTTTTGCCTAGCTTTCTCGACATGCTATCAGAGCAGGTCGACCCTCCTGGGTCGATCCTGTGGGTGGGCCCACCACCTAAGCCTTCCGCTGCTACTGCTACTGCTACTGCTACTCTGTGTGTCGCACGCCCCGTGGCGTGCGACGGATTTTTTATCCCGCCGTGCGCCCCGAGGTGCGCGGCGGTTTTCTGCCCGCCGTGCGCCCCATGGCGCGCGGCGGTTTCCTGCCGTGGGGAGCCCGCGCGCGCCCCGCCCGTCCGTTGCGACGCCCTGGGGAGCACGCGAGCGCCCCGCCCGTTCGTCGAGGAGCCCTCGGAAGCCCGCGCGCGCCCCGCCCGTTCGTCGCGGCGCCCTGGGGAGCACGCGAGCGCCCCGCCCGTTCGTCGCGGCGCCCTAGGGAGCCCGCGCGCGCCCCGCTCGGTTGTCGCGGCGCCCTGGGGAGCCCGCGCGCGCCCCGCTCGTTCGTCGCGACGCCTTGGGGAGCCCGCGCGCACCCCGCCCGTCCGTCGCGGCGCCCTGGGGAGCCGCGCGCGTCCCCCCCCCGCCAGTCCGCCGCGGCGCTCTGGGGAGCCGCGCGCGTCACTTCCCTCCCCCCGCCCCGTCCGTCCGTTTTGGCGCCCTGGGGTTGCGCGCGGTCCCCCTCTCGCCGTCCCCCGCGCTCCTGCCCCTATCCCACCCGTTTTAGGGTTTGGGGATGTGGAGTGTGGGGGTGGCGGGTGTGGGGGTGCCGGTTGTGTGCCCCGTCCCCTCCTTCTCCTCCTCCTCCGTCTCCCGCTGCTGCAGCTGCCGCTCAGGGGGGTGGGTGTGTGGGGAGCCGACGGAGTGGTACTAGGGGGGTGAAAGGGGAGTGGAGCTAGGGGCGAAGCAGGGGGTGTGTGTCGAGGGGTGTGGGACTGTTGGGGGAGGTTGAGCGGAGGCCGCCGTCGTGTCGTCTGCAGCGCCTGTATTCCGGGGTTCTGATAGCCACCGGTAGCTCAGAGAGCCGGTTGCACCTGTCGCCCGTGGGTCCGTTGCTCCTGTCGCTGCTGATCAGACGCAGAGCCTGTTACTCCTGTATTCCGGGGCCCTTGCTCCCGGTAGCCACTAGAGCTGCACCAGAGCCGTCTGTTGCCCGTGTGTCTGCAGCTTCAGTCGTCGCCTCCACTCTTCTCTCCTCTCGCCAGCCCTTCTCCTCCTCACTTGCCCTCTGTGACTGCCTCTAGCTTTGCTCATAAAATGTGAACTACTATTATGACTGCTTGTTGTGCTGATTACACCCCACTTTGGCTATGGGGGTGTGTCAGAATGTTGTATTTGTCTAGCCTGCAGTGGGGTACTCTATAGCGAGTACAGCCCAATCTAGGGTTTGCTATTTGTATCTCAACTGCTGCTAGTCCAAACCCCTCTTTCCTGTTTCTCGTTTTGCCTAGCTTTCTCGACAGCTGCTGCACGTGTCGGCGCTGCACGCGACTGTTGCGGTGACTGTTGCTGCTGCGCCTGCCTCGCCTCGTCCGCTTCTATCTCGCCTTCCAGCTCGCTCCAGACCCGCTCATCTGGTGCAGTGCTGCTACTTGCGTCGTCCACGACAGGCGACTCCTGGCGCGCTTCACCACGCGCCTGGTGTAGTTCGGCGTTTTCCTTCTGGAGACGCTCCATTTCTGCAGACATAGTCTGCATGGTGGCCTGCATCGTCCGGAACTGTTGCATGAACTCGTTGAACACTGCCTGTTCCATGTGTCGCAGGCTTCGTCTAACGGGCAGGGGGTGGCTAGCGATTTTTCTGACTTCGGTGAAGGCGTTAATGCTATCGTAGTCGGAGTGGAATAATCGGATCTATTCCACGGGCCGACCGCTTTACAGCCCACCAAGTCTATCGCTCCCCTTCTACAAACTACCCCGGAAACGCGAGGGTAACCTAGGAAAGTAGCTCTGATACCAAGTGTTATGAGTTGTGAAAGGAAAGAGTGCGCAGAATTCAATAACGCGGAAGTGATTACAACGTCTGAGAACACAACGAGGCCTAGGACTAATATAGCAATGCTAGCTAGGCCGAGGTCGCGGGGTCGCGAGATGGTTGGGTGCAGGTTCGGGGTTGGAAAACTCGAAGGCGACGCGGTGATGGTTCGGAAGGCGAGGTCGGCGGGCCGAGCCTGGTTTTCCGAAAACCGGGGTTGTACGCGTACAGTGTGACCCAGTAAGGAATCCGAAAAATTCCTTACATAGATGGTCAACACTCGCGACAGTTGACTTGCGACTCTTGACATTCGTGCCAGTGCCCTAATTATCAGCCTTTTTACGTTGATTCAGCGTTAGATCAGCCTTTTTTTCTTTTTTCTTTTTTTTAAGGGTTAGGCTGATTCCAAATTTTTTGGTTATGTAACTTTCGGTGCTTTTTTCAGTGTGTTTTTTTAAACCTTCGATGCTTTTTCAGCCAATTTGTAGGAGTGTAGGCTGTGCACTCAGCCTTGTATAAGTGCACACTAACCGGTGTTAGGGGGTGGCATGAAAATTCCCCGAGCCCGCTACCTCCATTCGAAACTCCCCCCAGCCCGCTACTTCCACACGAAAATTCCCCGAGCCCGCTACTTCCACACGAAACTCCACCCAGCCCGCTACTGCTACTCGAATCTCCCCTCAGCCCACTTCTTCCACCTGTTTCCCCCCCCCAGACCAATTCTTCCATTCAAATTCCCCCTCGACTCACTTGTTCCACTAGAATCCCCCCCCATCACAACCCACTTCTTCCACTCCAATCTCCCCCCAACTGACTTGTTCCACTAGAATCTCCCCCCATCACAGCCCACTTCTTCCACTCGCCCACTTCCACGACTCTCCAACCCACGTTCCTCTCTCAGCCAACATGCCGGCCCCTCCCCC